TAAGCAGAGTAGGGAGTAAAGACTGGTGTGTGAGTATCCCTGCAGTAAAGTGTGGAAGTGTGTCCCAGCACATCTTGGGTGAAGCAGTGCTGTAGGTGATGTCCTGCGTGTGTGAGAGGCTTAGGCTGAGRAATCTGGGAAGAATTGTGACTCTGCTGCTCCTTGAATTTGAACATCACTGAATGTCGGAGCAGGATGGGAAGGTGGCTGCTCAGGGTGCAGGTTGTGGTGAAACCAAACTGAGGAGCAGCAGTAAAATGTTCTGTGGGGAAAGTGAAGGAAAAGCTGCTCCTGGCATGGATCGAATCTACTTATACCAGGAGAGTGTTTAGTAAACTTCCAAAAGGCAAAGAGGTTCAACCAACAGGGGATGTTCTGTGGTGTAACCGAGTCAGATGAGTGCTGAATGTCTTAATTTCCATGCCCTACATTGTTCCTTCAAAGCTCACAGATTTTTGTGTTAGAAGTGTTAAATTGTGTTGGTTTTTTTTTTTTTTTTTTTTTTTTTTTTTTTTTTTTTTTTTTTTTTTTTTTTACATTTTGGTTTTCAGTGATGCACTGCAGGCATCCTTCATGTTCTGCTTATTTTCCACACTGACTTTGGGCAGAGAAAATCCTGAGAAGTGGCTTTTCTCTGAGTTCAGGGTAGTGCTTTGGGAAGCCCATTAAAAGTCCCATTTTTGTGGGTGTGGCAGAGCAGGGAAGGGGGTGATTCATAGTTGCCTTCAAAAGTTATTCTGCTGTGAGATACAGTGGCAGATTTCCTCTGGAGTTGCTGTGGAAGTTGTTTGACTCACAGTATGAACTTTACAAATTGTTTCTTCCTGAGAGCTTTACTTCCTCAGGGGTGAAGATATASTTTTTGAGCTAATTTTTACCTTTCTGGCTTTGCTCTGTAGAAATACCTTCCAGGGAAAAGTCTTGCAGGGTTTGTGTGGGCTGGCATATTCTCTTCTCCCAGAGCAATTGGGTATTAACTTCACTATGTGCATATAAGCTGCTTTTTTGGGCTTAAAGGTTTTTGTATTTAGATTGTTTTTAACMGTTCAGAAGCATTGATTGTCTTTTAAATTCTTCCCAAAACACTTCACTGTATTTTCTGTTAGTCCATTAGGCCACACCACACCAGTATTTGCTTGTGCAGTTGGCAGTCACTGAGCATGGAATCAAAATGTTGGCTTTTGATGAGTTTGAACATGACTTAGTATCCGAAACCTTGAAAAAAGCCAAACCCTAAATTGCAAGGAGGAATGTTTAGAAAACATGGATTGCATTACTCATAAATAATGTAATGCCACCCAGTGAGGCTGAGTGACAGAAATGAGGCAATTCATGATTTCTGGCAGAAGGAGCTTGATCATTGAAAYGAAGGTTTGAATCAAATCTTCCCTAGGTATTTTTTTAATCCAGAATTAAGTTATTTTTTTGCTAGTGATAAGATTTTCTTAGAGCTCCACAGACTGGGCCTCTGAGTAGAGGCCAGGGGCCCTGTGAAAGGGAGTCTTCTGTTTTTCCCCTTCCATGCAGAGCTCTCCCTCGTGCAGCTCCAGCCTGAGGCTGGGATCTGTTCCACAAATCTGCCTCATGTTCCTGAGCCAGAGTAAGTTATRTTTACCTGCTCAGGCCTTGGTGGTGTGTTTTGAATGTGATGCCTTTCCAGCATCCATCCAGTTAGAGATTTAGACCTGTCGTATAAACAAAAATAAGACTAAGTTATCTCAGTTAATATAGTTTGGCTTTGTAATGCTGAAGCCAGAGTGGGAAAGAGGATTTTTTTTTTTCTGGAAGCTTGCTGGGGATGGCCCWTTCTGTAAGGAAATCTGCATTTCCTATTAGCATCCTGCTGGAGATCAGGATTTTGCTTCATTCTGTAAAAACGTCGTGTGTGCCAGGAGCTGCAGTTTTTCGTACAATGGTGTGTTGGAAGCATTTGCAGGTTTCTGAGCTCCTGCTCGCTGTGTTCAGGCTTTATTCCGACAGGGCTTCTCTGGTTGCTAGGTAGGTGCAGCCAGTGTTTGGATGCAGGCCAGACGTGTCCGTGTGCTGGCTGGGCTGCCGAGGAATTGCCGTCTCTTTCTTCTCTGCTTAAGCTTGATTGGAACATCAATACTTCCATGGAAGAAAAGATTCTCACTCCGAGCTCGTTGAAACCGTTAGAGGCACTTCCACAATGGAACTGGGGGAGCTTTAAGGTCCCTTCCAACTCAAACCATTCTGTGATCTCAAAACGTGCTCTCTTGCTGCACAAAAGCCTTCCAAGAATCTGTCTGTGGCACCAGTTTTAGTTCCTGTTTGTGTGTTTATTGTTTGCTGTTATAAATCTGTCGAGTTTTAGTGCTGGGGACTTTGCTGAGCTGGTTTTATGAATTGAGCTCTCCTCCGGCACACTGAACAGACTTGGTTTGGGGGTTTTCCTTGGGTTTTTAAGAACATCCTAGGCATATATCTGAAGGGAGCCTACAAGAAAGATGGAGAGAGACTATTCACAAAGCTTGTAGTGACAGGACACAGGGAATGGCTTCCCACTGCCAGAGGGCAGGCTTAGATGAGATATTGGGAAAAAATTCTTTCCTCTGAGGGTGGGGAGGCCCTGGCACAGGTTGGAGCACCCTGGGATAGTGGAAGATGTCGTGCACATGGCAGGGGGTGAAACTGGATGAGCTTTAAGGTCCCCTCCAACCCAAACCATTCCACAATTCTACAGTATGTACATACCTGGTGTGTTATGGCAGAGTATAATGGTTTATTTAAAACAAAGAAGTTTCTCCTCTAAAACTTGTGGGCAGCTGAGCAGTGCAGAACTCTCTGGAAGCACCGAGGAGCTGCTCCATCCTCTGCAGAAGAGGCCTCATGGTGCTGCTGCTTTCAGAAAGGTTATTGAGCCTTGACCCACTTTGTTTTTGCAATGGTTAAAGAACTTGAAGGAAAGGATCTGCCACTCGGGCATCCTGTACTCTGTAGAATAATAGTACTTTGAGTATTTTTGGTTTGTGTGTTTATTTCCATGGGYTTGACACAGGACTTAGGCATGAGGTTGGGTGAGTCACCGATAGATCGGCAGCAGAACCATCTCCACAGCATCGCTGGTTATTTGTGTTTTATTGGGGTTTGAGTCACAGCTTTGAAGCCTCTGAAACAAGACTTTCACAACAGAATCTGGCAAGTCAGTGTCTCTTGAAAGCAGGGTCTTTTGAGTGGGTGCTCATGTATTTGGGCAGTAATGGCATACTTATGTTTTTAAGCTCATTTGTCCAAGAGAGCGTATGATTCACACAATAATACCAAAATAGCTGAATTTTTTGTAATTATACCTGAACAGTGTGTAGCCCTGCACTTCTGATTCATTTATTGGTCACTTAATTCCTGTTTGCCAGAATCTGGGTTCTTATTTCTTCCAGGGTGAGCTGCGTGAGCAGGACACAAGGCTGACCAGCCTAAAAGAACCTTTTTAACATTGTCTTTATTTCAGCCATTTTATTAGTCTTTTCTACAGAKAGGAACTAAATATAAACTATGGTGTGTATGTCTTCAGAATATTAAAATGGGCTGTTGACTTGTTTATGCCACTCAAATGTTTAGTAGTAACTTCTTTTTGCTTATGCTTACATTCTGCAAATATAGCTGGAGTAAATTGTAGAGCAGCTTTTACTCATGTGAGAGTATTAAAATGAAGGAAAAGTTGAAGAGAGCAGATGCTTGGAACAAGTTTTGCATAAGCAGAGTCTGTGAGCGGGTTTTAAATGATGCTTCTTGGTTTCTGTTTTGTTTTATCTTGTGGCTCCAAGCCAGCCCCACTCAGAATTTTTCAGTAGTTTTCTGGGTAGAGCCAGACAAATGTTACAGAGGAACTTGGCTTTGATGTTCACCTGTTCTCGGGACAAGATTTCCTTCAAKATAGTGCACATTTTTTAACAGGAATTATGAAGATTAATCAAAAAGCAAATAAAAAAAAAAWTTTCCCAGCGCTTGACATTTTAACTCTGCTATGAAAACGAGTGGGCTGGAATTGCTGCCTGCGTCACCGAGTAGGAGGAGAGGGGAGAACTTTGCACTGCCTCACTTGAATGCTCTGTAAATCAGGACATCTGTACCACGAGTAACTTCTTAAAACTCAGGCTACCAAGCATTTGGGGTTTGTTGTTGTTTCTTAACTGGAAAGAGGTATTTTTAAGTGGAAATACCAGCAGAAATTCTGGGGAAATGGACTATACTGCTGTGTTTGTTTTGTAAGTCATGAGTAATGCAAATCTTGAGTGGAGGGTTCTCACCTAAATGATACAAAGCAAATCAAAAGATGAGAATGGGCAGGTATTTAAGCTGCTTTTCAAAATACTCATCTCAGTGCAGATTTGGATGTTTCTCTGAGCAATTCTGGGACTTCTTCTCTAGCCTACAAGTAATTGAGAGTTTTACAATCCTGTGTCTTAATCTGAATCTTTAATCTTCTGGCAAATTGGCTTTATGGGGACAGTTAGATGGGAGGTAATGGTCTTACTCTTCATCCATTTTCAGCCAGCAAAGTTCAAGAATAATCTGTCTTCCAAGACTAAGCTGATATTGGCACTGAAATGAAGAGTTTATCTCAAATCCTGTGCACCAGTCCAGAGCTGCTTCTGCATTTGTATACTCTGCAGCCACGTAGTTTTTACCAGGGTGTTCAGAAMAGACTTGTAAAACTTTCTGGGATGACTTTGGGGTGTTTTTTGTTTAAGGGCTCTTTTGGTTTTCTTTTGGATTTTTGGTTGGGTTTTTTTTTAGGAAGTCTCCTAAACAAAACCTCCTGATTTTATTCATGCAGATCACTGAAGCTCATGAGTAAGAGAACAGTCTAGATGTGGGTGGAGGCTTAAGGATTAAAAATGGGCAAACATTTGTTTGGAATTTCATGGGCAGCATGCTGTTGGAGACAGCTAATTTCCTTTCCTCGAGTGTGCTGGCTCTGGTGCCTGCCTGGCTGTCCTGGGAGTTGGTTCAGGGAATTGTCTGTTGTGTTTATCTCCTAATCTGTGGGATTTTTCCTTCACAGGACCCGTGGGGGCACAGCCCCTGCTCATGGTGCCCAGACGTCCCGGCTATGGCACCATGGGCAAACCCATTAAACTGCTGGCCAACTGCTTCCAAGTTGAAATCCCAAAGATTGATGTCTACCTCTATGAGGTGGATATCAAACCAGATAAGTGTCCTCGGAGGGTGAACAGGTGAGAAGATACATTTGTCATAAATTATACAAATGGGAATGTTGAGTAATATCAAGAGCTGTGAAAGGGAGAATTTCTTTCCCTTTCCCCACCTCCCAGCTGGGAGGTGAAAGTGCTGCTGCTCATTCAACTCAAAAAGGAAGTCAATATTTATCATCTTCCTGAAGTAGTCTGAGTTAATATTGCGTGGCTGGAAGCTGCTGGTTTGCACCTGCTGAAGGAAAGTGTTTCCATTCTGTAGAATAAGGGAACTGTTTGTAGTTTGTCAAGTGAGATACATTGTGCCACTGAAACACCAAGACTGCCCAAGGAATTCAAATCCCAAAGGCCTGTTTCAGCTGGAGGTGAAATTCTCCAATTCCAAAATTCTCTTTTTTTTATAATACTTGCATCAAGAAGCATTTTTTTATAAGTTGAAAATGTCATTATGGTTTTKCAAGCGTAATTTCAGTGCTTGTGTCAGGTTAATCTTTATTGCCATCAATTTATAATAAAGCAAGAGAGGCGCATTAATAATTKTGTGCAAATTGGATCAGACTTTTACATGACTTTGTAAAAACTCAGTTTATTAAGGACTTAAAGCCAAATCTTTTTTTGTTAGGGCATCTCATGTTTATAACCAGGCAGAATTCAAAATTCTCATCAACTGAGGAGCAGATAAACATTACTGCAGACAGTACAATGAACTGGCAGAGCTTCCAGCTGCTGGGTTTGTGCTGTTTTTTCACAATACCACTTTGTGTTTTTTTTCCAAGGTAACTGTGACCTTGTTTTCCATAATAAAGATAATGCAAAAGCCTTGGTAATTTCTAGGAATTTCTAAAATTATTTCAGTACTAATATTTCCCAGTATTTGAGCATTTACATTGATTCTGATTTTGTGCTTTAGTGTTTGTTGATTTAGTTGAAGTATGTGAATTGCCATTTGGAATAGCAGTGGGTGTTTATAATTCACTCAAGTATTGTTTATTGCAACTACTTCAGCAAAACACCTGGGGGTAGGARCCAGCTCTGGTCTGATCCTTCTTCGAAAACCTCTTCAATGTAATTACCCTCTTTTCCAGGGATGTGGTGGACTCTATGGTGCAGCATTTTAAAGTGACAATATTTGGGGACCGTAGACCAGTTTATGATGGGAAAAGAAGCCTCTATACAGCCAATCCRCTTCCTGTGGCCACTACTGGGGTAAGATAACTGGGAAAACATTGTATTGGTAGAAACTTCTTAGGAAAGAAAAAAAAAAACAACTTCAAATATTTCTGAGTTCAGAAAAGCTGGAAGTATCTTACAGTATCTRTACTGAAACTGAGTTATGATGTATTTTCTGCAAATTCTAATRTGTGTAAATGTTCAGGTAATTGTTGCATTCAGAACTTCCTGTAGAATTTAGTAGCTGCTTTCTACAGCAAAAGCTATTAGAACATTTAGTTATACAGACTGTAATGCATGTTTGTATTWATGATGAATTAGAAAAACAAATCAAAGTTTTTCTAGAATGTACTGCTTTCTGATTTGAGATGGCAAAAAGTTACATGATCCTCTTCTGCTTGATCAGGGCCCAGTTCTCTTCACTTTGTGCATTTGGTAATGTGCTTTTATCAAATGTACTGTATCTTCAATATCTGAGTTTTTGAGTCTCTGGCCTAGTTATGGGAAGGAATGGGATCTTGGAGCTACCAGACTCCAGATTAAACAGCTGCTTTTTATTTTTTTCTTTTCCTCCCCTGCCCAGGTGGATTTGGATGTGACACTACCCGGAGAAGGTGGAAAAGATCGTCCCTTCAAAGTGTCAATAAAGTTTGTTTCTCGGGTGAGCTGGCACTTGCTGCATGAAGTTTTGACAGGAAGAACCTTGCCTGAGCCTCTGGAACTAGACAAACCTATCAGCACTAACCCTGTTCATGCTGTCGATGTGGTGCTACGACACCTCCCCTCCATGAAGTAGGTTCACTGTCTTCCTGCAGTCTGTCTTTACCTGAAGTATCCCCACTGGGAGACCTTCATCCCCATTTCTTCACAGGTGAAAAGAGAAATTGCTCATTTCCCTTTGCAGCACAGCTGGTGAGCTGAACGGGGAGCTTGTAGCCAGTTCTGTACAAGTGTTTCTCTGTAGGCGGAGCAGGTGATGTGTGTGTGTTGGAAAAGATCAAGAAACAGCAGACTTTTATAATAGGCCTGAATTGAAATGCTGAGAGRTTCCAGTGCACTGCTGTGCTGGTTCTGCTCAGTTTGATGCCTGTGAAAAGCACGAGTCTCTTTAATCCATTGATACACAGTCACCAGTGCATGCTTCTCGTGTCTGAAATCCATGGCTGGGACCAGATACCCATCCTAACAATGTCTCTTAATTGTTATTTTATCTGAGAACACTGAAATTTAGAGAAGGCTGATTTCACTTGATCTGGTCAATGAAAGTTACTTCTGAAGTTTGCTGKCTTTAGGCAGCAGTGTGGCTTTGCTCTGATGGGTTTCACTGGGTGTAAATGACTCCTAAAAAAAGTGGTCTGTGGTTTTATGGAAGCCAGTGTTCCTCAGCTTCCCCAAACCCAAAGATGTTAACTTCTGTACTAATGCCTATGTATTACAAAACAGGAGGTGTGGAGGCTCAGGAGCAGCTGTTTTCTCTCACGGCACCTGTGAGAGAAACATTATTTCCTCTAGTTCTTWGTTTCCTCCATAGTTTTTGCTTCTCTCAGTGTATCTTGTATTCAAAAGTTCCCTATGAAATAGGAAAAAAGGTATGTGAGGGTCAGGCCAGTGTAGACAAGTCTGTTGTGATGGATATTCCATTTTCTTGAAGCRGAAGATCAGGAAGGATAAATTAACTTAGTTCTTGATTTGTTGTAAAAACTCAATGTGGTTTGCCGTTGCTAAAAATAGTAAATGTTTTGTCTAAATTTAAAAGCACTGCAAAAAGAACAGAAGTATTCAGGGTATTTTGTTTAAACTTGCTTCGTGTCACAGATTTCTGGTGCACAAAATTMAAAAAAAATAATAATGCTGTGTGTTATAATCTTTGTTACATGAATTTTATGTTTGGAAAGCAAGAACATRAATGTGTGACCACCTGTTTCACCAGGTACACCCCTGTGGGCCGCTCCTTCTTCTCAGCTCCAGAAGGCTATGACCACCCCCTGGGAGGGGGCAGGGAGGTGTGGTTTGGGTTCCATCAGTCAGTCCGGCCTGCCATGTGGAAAATGATGCTCAACATTGATGGTAAGTGGAGATTCAAGGCTGAAATTCAGACCAGACCTGTATGGCAAAGGCTACCTAGAAATTCTTGTCTGTTTTCTCTGCATYTGTTACCATGTCAGTGTTTGAGAAGAAATTTAGCTGCCATATTTTTAAAAAAAAAACACCCCTACATGAGAAGGAATTGCACAGGACTTGTTTTCCTACTGAATTTCCATATTGGTACATCCCCAGTGACAGAGGCAGGTTGCCTAGGCTGTGTCTTTGTGCAGCTGTACACAGTGAGTGGTGCTCAGTACTTCCAAGAAAACTCTGTWAAACATACCCCAAACACTTCTTTGAATAGGGCTGATTGGGATGGGCTTTCTTATGCAAAAGCATAAGCTCTGYAGCACTGTATAGAGTCCCAGATAAATAGATCTGAGACTGACTGGTGCCTGTGTCAGACTCTCACATTCTGTAAGCACTCGACTGTTTTGTTGTTAAACCTCCATTGAAAAGTGTCAGTGGTGGAGGTGCAGGTGCTGCCTGAGGTTTTCTCTGATTCACATTCAGTTCTCACTGTCTTTGAAATGCTTTATAAACCCAAGGTAAATTGTCTTGCTCTACACTGAGCACTTCAAGTCAGGTTGTGCTTAGCATCTGTCTTGGAGCATAATAAAATATTGCAGATGTTGAGCTGTCTTGCTGAAAATTTGCAAGTCCAAGCTTTCTGGTTTACGTAAACTGTGGGTGATTCTCGTGTGACTGAAGTCACACGGTTTGTTCTTGTAAAATTGSCTTTCTAAGAGCAGCTGTGATTTGAAAAACAAATGTAACAACCTGTCCCAAAACAACCAGTGCTGGTATCTATAGGCAATGTGCTGAGAGAGCTGCAGTTCAGGTAGGAGAAGAGGATGAATTTACACCAATTGATGACTTGCTGCACTGTTACTTTGTCAGGCAAGTTTTTCTTGCACTTTAGCAAGTGTAGTAGTAACTTGGAGTAGAAATTTTTCAGTCCTGCCTGTGAATGAGAAAATTTAAGCCCTTTGTAGGTAGTGGTTGGTAGAGATGTTGCTGTTTCCTGGTTTGAGGCTGTGAAATTGCCTTCAAATCACATCGCTGGAGGTTTTTCAGTTGTTTAACTTGTATGAAATTCTCCATGAAAGTGTTGCTGTGGGAGACAACCCACGCACTGCCAGGATGGGGAGTGTGAGGATTTGGGGTCAGTCAGAAATCCAGAGCAATTCAGGCATCCAGAGGTGTTGGCTGATGCGTCATGTGAGGTTGGCAGGCTGCTCAAGTGACACATATCTGAAGAATGTTGGGCTGTATGAACACAGATGTGTGGCAGGATTGGTACATGAGATCTGGAAAACTGATAAATGCTTACTGAGTGTTTCTTTTCTGTTGTTGCCATTTAAAGTTTTAAACATGTGGAACAGTTTGTGTTTGAGCTCTGTCTGATGCCACCCCACCTTTCCTGCCARAAGTGGTGTTTCAGTTGCTTATAACTTTGTCAAGAAAATGATTTATGATTTTCCTTCCATAGAAGGAGTCAGCTGTCCTGCTTAAAAACATATATTGTCACTTAAAGTAATTGTGTCATTAGCATGTGGGGAGGATAAGAGATTTGAATAGATTAAGGGTTGCACTCCCCACTACACCGACACAATTTGTGTGTAGTGAAAATAGTGCTCATGTCTATACCAGATATTGTTTCTGTAATTGAGCAGATTGTGTAATTGGCAAAATTATGTTGCATGTTGAATAATGTTGGCTTTTAATATTCAAAAGTCTGCAGTAGAGAGATATTAATCCTGTCTCTGCAGCTCCATACAGAGGTGAAAGAGAATGTCTCTCTGGGGCATTGCAGCTCTCTAGAAATAAACGTTCTCCAGGGAAAAACCCTTTTAAACCCCTGAGATTCCAAGTAGTAGCAGGATGACTGTACTGGAGACAGATGTGTCACTGTGGACCTTCTGCTGGCTTTTTGATATTTTACTCTTGCAGGACTTGCTGTTCTGTTTCTAAATGTGCTTGAGGTTAATGTGGAATTCTAAGAAATACTGATGTATGTACTGCTTCATGACACCTTGACAGGAGTTTTCTACACTTAATATTTTGCTCTTTGTAGTTTCTGCCACTGCCTTCTACAAAGCACAACCCGTAATTCAGTTCATGTGTGAAGTCCTTGACATTCATAATATTGATGAACAACCAAGACCTCTGACTGATTCTCATCGGGTAAAATTCACCAAAGAGATAAAGGGTGAGTAGAAATGGGTYTCTTTTGTCCCAGGTAATAAAATCAAGGTACTTCTAAGGGAATTGTTTTAACTGGAAACCTGGTTAACATGCATAAGAAGGGCYTGGAACTGCCAAGAGGATTGTAGTATCTATGTGTGTAGCTCTAATCCTGAGAGAAACAATGTGGCTCTGCAGAAATGGGAGTTGAAAAACATTCCCGGTGGCTTAGAGGGAAAGAGGGAGCACGCTGTTCATTGCCTGGGCAGAGGTAAGTGCCAACCTCTCCTAACCCAGGGTCCCTGAGGCCACCTGGCATTGTGGGTGGGCTCCTGCTGTTTATGTGCTGTGGAAATGTGAACATTGATTTCAAGGTTAACATTGATTCTTTGAAAGAGTGTTGTTACAGTACAGACTTCTAATAACTGATTGCCTTGTGGAAAAACAAGTACCACTTGCAGCTGATGGCCAAATTCCATTCCAAAGGAATTGCATAAGCTGCTGGTTTGAGTGGTTTCACTCCATATATGCTACTTGGGCTTGTATTTTCCCATATCCTTCATTCCAGKGTAATTTGCAGAGAGAAAAGCCTTGAAGGAGCTCAGCTTTTAAACACTTGATGCAAGATTAGACCCTTCTGAAATACTGGGCAGCTAAAATGTAAATTGGAACTATAGTCATAAAGGGATGTGCTCACAGAATAGTCATGACTGAAAAAGGAGTTACAGGAATTATTTTGTACTAATCCTAACATGCCCTTTTTTACATCTGCTTGTTTGTCTTCATTTTGGAGGGCAGGTAACCAGAGAATGAAAAACTGCATCTGCTTGATCTCAGGTGCCTCAGAGACTCTGTTACCATAGTCAGAAAATATTGAAAGTTACCTCTTTGCTCTCAGGCTTGTCTTTGCTGCTGTAGGGTTTGGGAACTGCAGCCAGGATGTGACCACGTACAGCAAAACAAGCCCTGCATTTGAGCTGGCAGTGTGTGAGCAGCACTGGGGGAGGGCARTGCCTTGGTAGTGTCACAGCAGAGTAATGACAGAACAGGGAATGGGTTCCAGATATTTCTGTGTTCATCAGCCCTTGTCTGTGGTCACAGTGCCCCATGGTTTCTTTTCTCTATTTTCTCTTAATGCTGTGTCAGGGCAGTAGTGGTTTATTTTTTACTGCGCCATCCTCTGAGTAATACTGATGTTGTGATGCAATTAGTGTTGTCAGGGAGCACAGAGGTACAGTCAGTGTTTYTTTGTGGTGTCTGTGTCCCCAGTAAACTGAACACAGTCTGGTGTCTGGTACCTGGGGACCCTGTTTTGGGTGGGTGTTCAGTCAGTGCTGCACAATCCACACGCGCCTCAACAGGATGAGACATCCAATTGCTCTCCCAAAGGCCTTTACTACTAGACTTCACTAGTATTAGACTTTACTACTGTAGGTGAATCCTTTGAGTACCCAKGCTCTGTTTTTAGCTGCCTTCTGTCCCGTGGGGCTGGGGAAAGACAGCAGCGTGTGGATGCTGTGCAGCCCTCATGTGATAAGCTCAGTGCTCCCAGCAGATGTTGAGGCTGCTCTGTGTGAACAGCAYAGTGTGTGCACAGTCACAGCAACAGCCCCCAGAGCCTCTTGGAGCTGCCACTGTCAAGAYTATCGTGGGCAGAGATAAGTCTGGAGAGGCTCTGGTGTGTGGGCTGGGTGCTTTGAGACGAGATGCTCAAAATGCAAAGATAACTTGGTCAGTGAAATTAGAGAAAATTGCWGGCTGAATGTGGATGCAAAGCTGCGGGGAAGAACAATAAAGTAGAAACTGGTTTTGTCCTTTTAATTTCAATTGCATGGGAACCGATGGTTGGAGACATGTACAAGATTGAGAATGAGARCAGAGAGGATATGGTGAAAACAGCTCTCCGAGTTCAGTCAATGCTTTTAGATGAAACTKCTACAGGAAATTCAGAAAACAGTGAACATTAAGTATTCTATGTCATTATTTCTTTCTGAGGATAGTAATCAGSGTTAGTCAGAACTCAAAGTTTATTGAAAGTAAAAATGTTTAAAGAATAATAATTTCTTATATTTGTGCTAATTGATCCAAAAGGTGTTGTGTTCTGCCATTTGAAACCTTGTGTTCCCTGTGTATGTTTTTGTTTAGTTGTGGCATCAGGATTTTTTATGCTTTTMTGCAGGTCTAAAGGTAGAAGTGACTCACTGTGGGACAATGAGAAGGAAGTACCGTGTSTGTAATGTAACGAGACGGCCTGCAAGTCATCAAACGTAAGAGRCTTTTTGTCAGAGCATGAAATGTGTGATGGTTTCACACTGAGTAACAGGACCTGATATATCATTAATTTTGGGATGATGGTATTTGACAGCTTGTATTTTACTAAAATGTCTGTCTTTGCAGCTTTCCTTTACAGCTAGAAAATGGCCAGACTGTGGAGAGGACAGTAGCACAGTATTTCAGGGAGAAATACAACCTCCAGCTGAAATACCCTCACCTTCCTTGTCTGCAAGTGGGACAGGAGCAAAAACACACCTACCTGCCTTTAGAAGTAAGGGTCTTACTCTGATAGATGATCTGGGTTTGGGTAGGATCTATCAGTTGGCAAAACTTGAAGAATTAGTTCTCTTTGCAGTACAAATGTGTTTACAGATTAACATGTTCATCACTCTTTAATTTCACCAAAGACTGTCTGCATCTTAAAGTGCTTTAAAGTTTAGAACTACAAGAAAGAACAGGCAGTTGCTTAAACACGTTGGGGTTGTGGTTTATCATGACAGCACTAATATTGTGTGTGTAGAGTTTGGTGAGATCGGAGTTGTTCTGGTGTGAATTAATGCTTCTGCTCTCCCCTGCAGGTGTGTAACATTGTGGCTGGCCAGAGGTGCATCAAGAAGCTCACAGACAATCAGACATCGACCATGATAAAAGCGACAGCCAGRTCTGCCCCGGACAGGCAGGAGGAGATCAGCAGATTGGTGAGTGCCCCAATCCCAGCTCTTTGGAGCACTGCTCAGAGTGACACTGGGCTGGATTGCATCCATGCAAAACTTCTTTGCCTTTTCTTTCTTCCTCATCCTTTAACTTAACAGGTTTTAACTAATTTTTAAAATAGGATTTATTTAAAATGTCCTGCTTCAATAGCATGAGCATAGTACGGGCTCATGCATTATCATCTCTACAATTAATTTACTGTGGGGAGGCAAAATGCTTTCGAATGAGCAAACTGCATATGAGCTCTTGAGTAATAAAGGGAACAGAAACCATCTCATCCAATAYATCTCATTGTTTTCACTGGGGATGGGTTGATAGTGTTGAGCAGTTAAACCTGAACCTTTTTCAATGAAATTGTTTTAAGAACACTTCTGCAATGTTCCTGTTAGCCTATTGTCTGTTATATGGATTAAGATCTCATACTTCTGTAACGTGAAAAAATCTCTCCTAGGTGAGAAGTGCAAATTATGATGCAGATCCATTTGTCCAAGAGTTCCAGTTCAAAGTGCGGGATGAGATGGCTCACGTGACGGGGCGTGTGCTCCCAGCCCCGATGCTGCAGTATGGAGGACGGGTGAGGCTTTGCCTTTTCCTTTGGTTGCYATTTTGAGGAGTGATGTCCTGTACACCTTGACTCTATAGGGATCAGAGTTTGAATGATAAACTSTTTTTTATTATCCTGAAACTGCTAATAGCACAGGCTGCTTCTTTTTCAATCACTTGAATGTCTGTTGCTTTTGTTTCCCCAGAATCGAACSGTGGCAACACCGAGCCACGGCGTGTGGGACATGCGAGGGAAGCAATTCCACACTGGGGTGGAGATCAAGATGTGGGCCATAGCTTGCTTTGCAACACAGAGACAGTGCAGAGAAGAAATTCTGAAGTAAGGCATGTCGTGGTTCAGGCTTTGGACTGCCCTTTTAATGGAGTGAAACATGAATTTAGGATTACAATGAGCATTTTACCTGGGTTTTATCTGAGATGTTAGGGAGAGAATCCAGGCTGGTTTGCCTCTGTGCTGGAAGCTACAATCAAAACATTGCATTGGGTACACAGTGGGGTGTTTATCCTGTGGCATCACTGTATATAGTCCCTTATGGAATCTTGAACGAAGTGCTGAAGGTGTCTTAACTATTTTTAGCCCCTTCTGGCCTGTGGTGTTTCACAGCTCTACAGCCTTCATATAATGAACGTTGTTTAAATCTGCTTTAAAAACTATTTGGAGTCATCCTTCTTTGACAGTTCTATCTATCCTTTTGTGCTTTGGATATTGTGTACTGTTGCTAMTGCAAAAATCCAAAAATCTCCTCATCTTCAGGGGTTTCACAGACCAGCTGCGCAAGATCTCCAAGGAYGCCGGGATGCCGATCCAGGGCCAGCCCTGCTTCTGCAAATATGCCCAGGGTGCAGACAGCGTGGAGCCCATGTTCCGACACCTCAAGAACACCTATTCAGGGCTTCAGCTCATCATTGTCATCCTGCCAGGGAAGACACCTGTGTATGGTAAGGGCACACCTCTGTCTTTACCTGTTTGGTCAGGTATCACTTGGAGAAATCTGCTGCCTGGCGTGTGTTAAAAATTACTCAGAACCATCCTTTAGGCATTAAAAACTGTTTTGTGTATGAAGATAAATTGGAAGCAGGTCTGAGTATGCAGAGAAATTAGAAGTTACTGCAGAATATGTGCACTGAARTTATTGTGACTTAGATAAGATCAAAATGCAGCAATAACCTCAAATGGACTCAAGTTGTCTCCCTGTGTTTCCTTCTCAGCGGAGGTGAAGCGCGTGGGAGATACACTGTTGGGAATGGCCACACAGTGTGTTCAGGTCAAGAACGTCATTAAAACATCTCCACAGACCCTCTCAAATCTGTGCCTGAAGATTAACGTTAAACTAGGAGGAATCAACAACATCCTTGTACCTCATCAACGGTAAGACTCTGGAGACTGTGTWGGGTTTTCTTTTAACTGATGTAGTTACTTTGCTAGTTTGCACCCAAAATTTAAATGTGGCCAAGTTTTACGTTAAAATATTCATCTGATAATAGTATGTGATATTTGAGGTAGAATTAAATTCCTTCCAGCACAGACTCTGAATGTTGTTTGGCCTGTGAGTTAGGTCTTCAGCCAAGGTTTTTGTCAACTGTTTGATCAGTATCAAAGTTGGAATGTGGAACAGTGGTGTGGGGAAGAATATTTTAAAGGCACTGTAAGTCCATGCTGCTGCTCAAGTCCTGGAGACCAGGATAATGTGTGTGCTGGTGCTATGGTGCTCTGGGTGCTCATGTGAGGGCTCCATAATCCCCCATCTGTACCACTCCACTGGAGCCCTGGGGCTGCTCCCCAGCAGAATCATGCCCCAGTTCTGGCAGCGTGTTTGCAGTGTGTTTTGGACTCTGCTGGGGAGGGTTCCAAGTTCACATCTTGTGCACAAAGATCCCATTGTTGAGCCTTGGCCCGGGTACCTGATAAGGCTGAGACAGAAACAACCCCCACGGTGAGCGATGACCTTGTGGCAGCTCTTCAGCTACGAGTGTGACTTAGCACTTTTTTCTTTTTGAAGACCTTCTGTGTTCCAGCAGCCAGTGATCTTTTTGGGAGCTGATGTCACTCACCCTCCAGCTGGAGATGGAAAGAAGCCTTCCATTGCTGCTGTAAGTTTTATTACATTTATGTRTGATTATTTCATCTTGGGTAAATGTTAAAATAGTAAATGCAACTCATGGACTATGTCTGTATCAAATACCTCTCAGAGWCTGTACCAGTTCTTTGTACAGATTCCCAATATTACAATACATTAAAATAGTAAAAATCATGTGTTTAAAGGAAAAAATTTACTTGATACTTCAGACTGGTTTCCTAGCTCTTTAATTTTTAAATCAAGGTAATGTGGCATTGTTAAATAATATATTTATGCAGAAATACTCCCAAGGAAATAACACAGCTTGGTGATGTTAGCTAATAATATTTTTTTGTCTTTTTAAAGGAGAAAAGTGTAATTAAAGGCCTGGTTTGGCAAAAATGTTTTTCATATTTCTTACCTTTTGTGTTGGTACAGTCCAAGAACTCAAGGTGGTGATTGGAGGCTTGGTCAGTTCTCTCCTACTTTGTCCCCTTGGTATTTTAGTTGTCACTGATTGCAGTAATGGAAACTGCATCTGTGTATAAAGTAACTAAGGGAAGCTGAGGTTTTCCTCTGTGTAAAAGGTGAGAAAAATGTCTGGATTATAAAAATATGCCTTAGCAAGAAGCCAAATTCTGCAGATGCMTTTCAGAGTGCTTGGGGCAAAAGGTGTTAAACCTGTACCAAGTACAAGTTCCTGTTGAGAGTGTTACTCTGGTTGTTGTTTAGCACAAGCATCTTGTGCTTGCTGCTCTTGGCTGTTTTTACTTTAAATTGTTTTAGTATGGATTTGAGGCTGAAGGCTTCCCTGCTGGGCTCTCCCCCCAGGTTGTAGGCAGCATGGATGCTCATCCCAGCCGGTACTGTGCCACGGTGAGGGTCCAGCGGCCCCGGCAGGAGATCATCCAGGACCTGGCCTCCATGGTCAGGGAGCTGCTCATCCAGTTCTACAAATCAACACGGTTCAAGCCCACCCGTATCATCTTCTACAGGGATGGCGTCTCTGAGGGACAGTTCCGACAGGTTGGTTCAATTGTGGGTTTGTTGAAGGAKTCTGTTACTCTGTAGTAACTCCTGATCTTGTTTCGTATTGTTTGAGTTGCTTACATTTACACAAAATAATTGAGACTTTTAAGGAGAGAATTTCTTAATCTTGTTGGGTAAGAAGAGTTGCAACTCGTTTCCTGTCTGGGAAGGTGAAATCTTCAAACTTGGGAAACCACGTATCTCGAAGTACTTTTTCAGATTACCAGTTGTGTGCCAAAGTTGTACCTACTGTTAACTACACTGAGTTAGCAGGTGTTGTGTGTAGAATACAATGGAAGGAAACCATAAACTCCTCTGTTTTTGTGCTCGTAGGTTTTGTATTATGAACTGCTGGCCATTAGAGAAGCCTGCATCAGTTTGGAGAAGGATTACCAGCCTGGAATAACCTACATTGTGGTGCAGAAGAGACATCATACGCGGCTGTTCTGTGCTGACAGAACAGAAAGGGTAATCACTGCCTTCTCAGAGGAGCCTTTTGGGAAAGCTTCATGTYGAGCTTTTAGGCTGCTGGAAAAAATATTAGTGTGGGCTTCTGTCCATCTGGTTGTCTATGCATGCAGGGTAGTGTTGATTTGATAAAATGGGACCCCAAATTGAAAAGTCATTGGCTTTAAGTATGTTAAAAAGCCTCACAACATCACATTGGAGTTAAAGTCCTTGTGGCTACCCAGGACCAATCTCCAGCAATTTTAAGAGAAGAAAGTACAAAATGGTGGAATCTTTTTTTCTGAGCCAGTAGATCCAAACTGAAGCTGACAATTCTAAATACAAWTGTGGAGCTCTTCAGCCTGAGATGGAAAGTTCTGATGTGTTGGAGGTGCAGTGTTGTGTAAGGTGCTGGAGAGCCATCCAGTGTCCTTGTTAAACCTTCAAGGCTGATGTAGTGGCACATTCCAAACAGTTCTATGGTACTTCATGTGCCAAAACCTCGCCGGTGGTGAATAGAAACTTGTATTTTTCATTACAGTTGAGCTGTACAAACAGCTGAGGCYGCACTTAACAAACCTTTTCTCTAGGTTGGACGAAGTGGCAATATTCCAGCTGGGACAACTGTAGATACAGACATTACACACCCCTACGAGTTTGATTTTTACCTCTGTAGCCATGCTGGAATACAGGTACGGTTGCTTTGTGTAAATAAATGTGGATGTAGAACATGTTGTTCTTATCTCTTTTGTGACACCTGTTTGCAAACAGTTATTTAGGAGGGAAATGTTCTTTYAGCTGTGTTTTATCTGAGATAAAACATAATTGTGGGATTTAGAGTATGATTTGCTTAAGAGGTGGTCTCTGCTGCACCTTTAATCTTTCACTAAAGGTAAGTGATGCTTTCTGAAAGTTTATTTTAAAGAGGTCACTTTATTTTGTGACATGGTTATTTCTGAAAAAAAAAAGGCTTACTATTTGTATCAGGCTATTGCTTAAAATGTAAAAAAAAAAAATTACTCTTTAAATTTTTATCATGTCTGACCACATTGTTATCAGTTTTGTTTGGATTGGCTGGACATGATTTCTTTTCCAGTTTTAAATCATTTCAATGGGGTTTTAGTCGATCTTTACTCTGGTTTTTGGCCTCTTGCAAAAAAAAATTGTATAGAAGTTGAAGCAGAAATGCTGGGTGTGTAGCTGCAGCTCATTGTGTTTAATATAGCAAGACATAAAGAAGCTCAACTAATTTTATACTTCAAATATATTTCTTTTAAAAAGACAGRCTCAAAACTTGGCTAAAACACAACTATTTACCCAATTGAGGTGCACTGTAGGATTTAACGTGAGTTTCTAGTGTTCATACTTGCAGTTAGGGTGCTCAGGAGCTGGAAGGATAAAAGGAGCTGGTGGTAAAAGCACCAGCTGTTTCTCTGGGAAATGTTTCTTTGTGAGAAACAGTTTAATTGAAGGTAGGTCAAAGGTGGTGTAATTGTGGTTTAGTCATGTTGGGAGAAGGTGCGGATTATGTAGAGGGATTTTATCCAAGCARGAACATTTATATGTTAGACTTACTCATCTTCAAATACATTGAAGCCTGACATAAAACTGAGCTTTGGCTGCTGTTACATAGGAGTTGACATTAGACAGCCTGACCCTTTCTGAACATCCAAACCCGCCTTGTTTATGGAAACCCAGAGAAGTGACCCTCAGTCCCCGTTTCCACAGGGAACCAGCCGTCCCTCCCACTACCACGTCCTGTGGGATGACAACTGTTTCACAGCAGATGAGCTGCAGCTRCTGACGTACCAGCTGTGCCACACGTACGTGCGCTGCACCCGCTCCGTCTCCATCCCCGCGCCCGCCTACTACGCTCACCTGGTGGCATTCAGAGCACGCTACCACCTCGTGGACAAAGAACACGACAGGTAAATCACAGGGTTTAGTCCCCATTGCTCTCCTCAGCTGTCAGGTCTAAAATCATTTACCACAGGTAATTCCTGCTGGTTTTGCGCTTCTTTTTGTTRCCTCTAGGACTGATGTTAAGATCATCACTCCTGGCAGCTGCTGCTTTGCATCAGACCAGAGTGGGTTGGTGGATACTCCACAATAACACTCAGTTTAGTAAACTGCATTCTTTTAATCTGTCAAATTCCCTTTGACATGGTCTGAGGGAATCAACCCACAGTTTTAATTTTTTGSTTTAGGATCAGAGTGGTCATGAATGAACTAAACGTTAAATGCTTCCACTTATCTAACTCTGTACGTCAGAAATATTTTATAACCTTCAAGCCATCAATGTATTTATAACAGGCTTATTTTTAGATGAACAMGCTGAGCAGCCATGGTGAAGAGATTTGTCAAAAGCCTCAAGGTTGCTGGGTGAATACAAGAGTTGATATTTCTCAGTGTCCAGTTCTGTCACTGGTGCTGTGTTGATGAAGGGTYTGGAGAGTCAGTCCTGTGGGGAGCTGCTGAGGGAGCTGAGCCTGGAGAAAAGGAGACTTGGGGGGACCTTCTCAGTCTCTACGACTCCCTGACAGGAGGATGGAGCCAAGTGGGGATTGGGCTCTGCGCTTGGGGTACAAGGGACAGATCAAATGGAAACAGCCTTAAGCTGTGCCAGGGAGGGTCAGGTTGGACATCAGGAGGAATTTCTCCATGGAAGGGGTGGTTGGGGTTGGATGGGGCTGCCCAGGGCGGTGGTGGAGTCCCCATCCCTGGAGGTATTTGGGGAACAGCTGACTATGGCTCTCAGTGCTCTGGGCTGGGTGATGAGGTTGGGATCAATCACAGGTTGGACTCGATCATGCAGATCATTTCCAACCTCAGTGATTCTATGATTGTGTCAAAGAGATGTGAAAGCAGCTTTTTGATCCGAATTAATACAATTTACAGCCCTGCCTGTCTCTCCCTCGTTCCCTGCAGTGCTGAAGGGAGCCACGTGTCAGGACAGAGCAACGGGCGAGACCCGCAGGCCCTGGCGAAGGCTGTACAGATTCACCAAGACACCTTACGCACGATGTACTTCGCTTAAGTCAATGACCCGGGAGACACTCACGGAGAGGAGAACTGAGAACTTAAGCCACATACAATGTATGTTTCCAGGGGGTTGGTTTAGGGGCTGTGCCTCCCATCGTGCTGGAGCTGACGCTGTGCAGGGGCGAGAGGCTCACCCTTAAATTGACACGAGGAAGATTGTTTACTTCATCCAGGAACACAGCACTATTATGCAATATGAAACCAGCCAACTGCTTTTTTGGGGCGGGCTCCCGTGGGAAGCACCGCCATCATTTTTTTTTTAATTATTATTTCTCGTAGTTTAACCCTCTTCTGCCTTTACCTCAAGTTGCTCGGCAGCACAACTATTGTTGCAAAAAAACAAAAAGTAATAATAAACTAAAATCTATTGTTTAATTTAAAACAGAAAACAAACCACCTTTTAGGAACAATCACAGTGATTGTTTGGAGGAGGGAAGTGTGCAAAAAAGAAAATAATTAAGTTTTTAACCCCCGTGCATTGAGGAATCTTTCTGTCAGTATTGCCATCGAGCATTTGAATGTGAACATATCCAAGTGCATTGGAATGTACAGTGCTAGTTAGAAAACAGTGAGGGGGGGAAAAGATGTTTTGCACACTAATCCAATAATTTGAACCTAATTTAGCCAATGGCTGCCTTTGTGTCTTTTCTCACAGCTTTGGAGTTCTCAGCTCCAAGAGTTCCCTTTCAAAAGCAATCCAAGAAGCTCGTGGTTCATGTGCAGGCAGTAGTGACCCAACTCTTCTTGCTCCCTGGGGGAATTTACTAAAGCTGCTGTTTTACCTAGTCCAAAAGTTTCAATTTTTTCCTATCTGGCATGTCAAATCTGTTGAAGCTTCACGTGAGATCTGATGTCCCAGGTTTTCTGGGATGACATACAGTAACCACCAGAACTGAAACTTTAGAGCTAAGGTCTTTTTGGAAAAAAAGAAACCTGCTACTTTACTTGCTGCCTCTCACACCTTAATGTGATTCATATGTATGTGTGTTTGAAGTTTAGCTTCCTTTTGTTTCTTTTATATTTATTAGAGTAATAATAATGCTTTAATTTAATTATTACAGAACATATGGTCAACATCAACTTTTATTTTTTAGAAATGTAATCATGTTTATTTTTAAAAAAAGAAACTGACAACTTGTTTTGCTATCTTTTAGTGCAATAAGCATTCTAAAGAAAAACTGTGTCCATTGAGCTGTACTGAAGCAGTGTCTGTACCACGGACCGTGGGAGAATGGACACTTCCAGGATTTTAAAAGGACAAAGTAAAAGCCTTAATTTTGAAAGGAAAGTTTTATAGTCAGAAGGAATCTTGAATTTTCCTTTTTTAAATCAAAAAAAAATACAAAAAATGCTTCTAGACTTCTGCAAGCTTTACTTGTCGCTGCAGTGTTTTGATTTAACAAAGGAATTGGCCTTATTTTTGGCTTTGAAACGTGGAGCTTATTTGAATTAAATGGAAAGGGTTTTGTATTAAGATCTCAGTTTTTACGTGCTTAGTTAAACCTATTTGACATCAGTAAAATGTCTGGAATTAATACAAGTTTTTAGGCTTTTTTCCTCTTTGATAGTGACTTTCCTTTTAAAATTAAGTTATTGGTAACTTCATTTCACTTTGCAAATAAAGAGGGCTGGGATAGTTCTAACATGTTAAATCACTGAAATGTGAAACAAACCAATGGGACTCTTTCATTCCACTTTAAAAACCAATGTTTAAGATGTCAGAGACRAGCGTTTATTCAACGAGGGGACTGGGGAGTTTTGCACTTTGTAAACTCGTGAACTGCATTTTTGACTGTTTTTATTTGCACTGGTTCATAGTATATTTACTGCAGCTGTTTGTATGGGCATTGCTGTGATCCCAGCCCTCCCGACCTCCACCTGCTCTCACATGAAAACCTGGTTGGTCTAAGTAGCTTCTCTCCTTGTTCTCACCAAATCCGCTGTTTGCCAATATACTGTATTTTGAGCCTAAAATCTGAGCCCATTTTACTTCACCAGGCATGAACCCCTTTTTTTTCTGCCAGAAAACCAAGTACTGTATTTTGTGTGTTTGTATATTGTATGGAAATGTCCGTAGTGCTGTTCACAACACTGTCTGCAAGAGCTTTACTAMCAGCTGGTGTAGATTCCTATTTTATCTCCCAAAATCAAGGAAAATTACGTAAAGAGACTAACTTGGCAAAGCTAAAATTGCACTGGAAGCAGTGGTGGGGGTGGGCATGGCTGGGGGTGCTCAGAGGTGAGCTGGGGGATGCCTGGGGGAGCTCAGCAGGCACCGAGGGGTTGGGGACCCCTGGAGCCAGGGGGTGTCACCTCAGAGTGGCCTTTCCCTGGCCTTTTCTTTTGTCTTCGGACRCATCTGGTGCAGGGAGGGGGTGTGACCGAGTCCTTTGAGCGAGGTGGTTTCTCAGTGAGTCTCTCAGATGTTTTTCCCAGTCTGTGACCTGACACTTTTTCTTCTAAAGCTCTCTAAGTAGCAGTGCCGTTTGTAAAATGTTCAGCTTAAGCTTTATACAGCAATTTCTTTTAAAACTGAGAACTTTAAAAAAAAAAAAAATCCTATTTTACAAAGGGTTCTTGTGGACTTCTGGCATTTAGCTGAAAATTCCTTTTTACAAAGCCTTCTAACTCTCCTTTCAAAGCCGCTTCTCATCCCGCCCACACTCGGTGACTCGGATTTGAGAAGCTTTTTTGCTCGCTACTTTCACCAAAAACTAAAGAAACTTCATTGGCAAAGTGACTTCTGTTGTCAAGGTAACATTGTACCTGGTTTTCATGTGAAGAGTATTTGGAAGTTTTAATCTCTCTTCTTGGTTTTGCAAATATCTACGTCAAGTGCCGATACTTCTTTGTATTACGATATCAAGTTACTGACGTTGTGAGGGCCACACATTTATGATGCTGTAGCTGCTATATTTATTTAAATGGAGATGGACAATTACTGCACTAAGGAATGAGGAGAAAAGCAAGGAATCAAGGTTAGTTAGATATCTTGGTTTTTTTTTCAAAAGAGTGTGAAATATCAAGTGTAACAAAGGGTGCTGTCATTTTAACAGAGATTAAATAGCCAGATATTCTTCTTTTGTTTAAAAACATATATATTTTGATGTTTGCAGTTTGGGGGTGGGGGGGTCGGGATAAATGGTACCTCATCTGTGGTGGCAGTTTCCAGTATATTTTCAGAGTATATGGATTTCTTTTATTTTTGTACCTGCTCTCCTTGAAAAAGAAAAAAAAAAAATCTCAAATTTTATGTGCTCGAGGAAATCTTGAGTGGCACAGCAGATCCTCCTCTCCAGCCGGGAGCTGGCTGTGGATAGTCCAAAGAGGGACGTGGTGGGCGCAGGCTGATGGCTCTTCTTGCTTTGCAGACACTGGCCTCGGGTTTCTGCCTGTGGAGAAAAGCAGTTCCCATCTCCTCAGACACTGCACCGAGACCTCACTTGTACTGARCAAGTGCCACTAAATGCTCCCGTGGTGGGGGCAGCCCCAGGGCCCCAGCGCAGGGCCAGGAGCAGCCCCAGGGTATCACCGGCTGCGGGGACTGAGCCCCTCTTCACCCAGCCAGCCCTGCCCAAACCTCCCACCTGGCCACTGCTAGATCCAGAGCTGGAGAGAATCATAGAATGTTTGTGGTTGAGGCGTTAAACTTGTGACATCTGCCAACAGGAGGAGTGACTCCACTGCAAGTCGCCTTTTTCCCTTTCTAGGGATTTGAGCCGTGGCCATTTGACTCAGGATCGCTGTGTCACTGTTCAATGTGTCATCTGGTTACACATGTCCAAAAGTTATTTTTATAGGATTCATTCCGGTATTCTTTTGGAAGTTTGGCCACAGAAATGGTTTTCAGGAGTAAAATGGKTTTCTGGAAGTTGTCAGTCAAATTATTT